TTCCCGTGGGCAGCTCCCGGGCCGTTCCCGTGGGCAGCTCCCGGGTCGTTCCCGTGGGCAGCTCCGGGGTCGTTCCCGTGGGCAGCTCCCGGGTCGTTCCCGTGGGCAGCTCCCGGGCCGTTCCCGTGGGCAGCTCCCGTGTCGTTCCCGTGGGCAGCTCCCGGGCCCTTCCACGTGGGCAGCTCCCGGTCGTTCCCGTGGGCAGCTCCCGGGCCGTTCCCGGGGCAGCTCCCGGGTCCGTTCCCGTGGGCAGCTCCCGGGCCGTTCCCGTGGGCAGCTCCCGGGTCGTTCCGTGGGCAGCTCCGGGGTCGTTCCCGTGGGCAGCTCCCGGGTCGTTCCCGTGGGCAGCTCCGGGTCGTTCCCGTGGGCAGCTCCAGGGTCGTTCCCGTGGGCAGCTCCGGGGTCGTTCCCGTGGGCAGCCACACAGACCTCCTTTCTCTGCCTGAAATGTTTTTCTCAAACACAGTCATTGGTTATTTCCTTCCCTGTTTTCTCTGGAGTTTCCATCTCTTAACTTTTCTTTTATATTTTCCATTTTTTGGCCATTTTTCTCTATATCCTGAGAAATGTTTAAAACTCTTTCGTCTCATACCTTCCTTTGACTAGCTTTTTGTTGTTGTTATTGTTAATCCTCACCTGGGGATATTTTTTCTGTTGATATTCAGAGAGTGGAAGGCAGGGTGAGAGAGATTCATCGATGTAAGAGACACATAGATGGTTGCCTCCTGCATGTGGGGATTTAACCTGCAACCTAGGTATGTGTCCTTGACCGGGAATAGAATCCGTGACCCTGCAGTAGGTGGACCGACATTTAACCACTGAGCCACACTGGCCAGGGCTGATTAACTTCTTAGTTGAGTTTTTTTTTTAATCCTCACCTAAGGACATTTTTTTGTGTTTATCTTTAGATAGAGCAGGGGGGAGGGGGGGGGAGAGAGAGAAAGAAACATTAATGTGAGAGATGTACATCGACTGGCTGCCACTTACAGGACCCCAATAGGGGCAAAGATAGGGCTTATTAACTTTTTTTATTTTATTTTTTTATCCACACCCGAGGACATTTTTTGCATTTATCTTCAGGTAGAGTGGGAGGGAGAGAGAGAGGAAGAGAGAGAGAGAGAAACATCATGTGAGAGAGACACATCGAGTGGCTGCCACCCTCACGACCCCAACCAGGGCCGGGAACGAACTGCAACCGAGGTACGTGCCCTTAGCAGGAACCGAACCCGGGTCTCTCTGGTCTGCGGGCTGATGCTCTAACTGCTGAGCCAAACCAGCCAGGGCAGGCTGATTAACTTTTTAATTTGGAAAATTATATTTGTAATTTTCGGAACTTACTCTCTCCAATTGCAATGTCTTCCTAGAAGCCTCTACTTGTTTTATGGCTGCATTGTCATACTTGTTTCCTCCAGGTCTGGTTGTCTCTTCATCTTATTTATTTATTTTTTTTGGTGTCACTGAACATTAATAAGAGGAGGCCACACACTTCTCCTTGGCAGCTCAGAGGGTCTTGTTCCCAGGTCCTGTCCCTGGAACAGGCTGAACGCTCCATGGGCAGGTGTGTTAATTCATTGAAATACGTCATGCAAATCAGAGGTTCCTCTTCCTAACCCTCCACCCAGGTGACATTGGTGCTCTCTGGAGACATCTATGGTTGTCACAACTAGGGGATGCTACTGGCACCCAGTGGAGGCGCCAGAGATGCTGCTACATATTCTACAGTGCACAGGAAAGTCTCCCACAGTGAAGAATTATTGTTGGTCCAAATGTCAACAACCGGAAGGTGGGGAAAACCCTGATGTAAGGTGCCTGAGAGCAGGCTGCCCACCTCAAACCACCAAAAGCCAAGGTAAGAAGGGACACTCCACACCCACTTCAGGAGCACTTGTTCGAGATTATTTGGAAGGGATCTCCAACCGATGGTCCACCAGCCACATTGGGCCCACAGACTTGTTTAATTTGGCTTATATGAATAAAGTGTGTGTGTGTGTGTGTGTGTGTGTGTGTGTGTGTGTGTGTGTTTTACCTAAAAACCCAGATGTTTAGCTTCTTCTGAGAAGTCAGAAGCATGGACATGATAGGTAGCACTGAGTGGCAGCTATACCTAGAGACAGGCATGTGGTCTCTTCTCACCTCTGTCCCCTGGTTCACGTCACTCACCTCTGTCTCTGTCTTGGCCTCTTTATACAGGTAAATTCATGATCCCTGCACTGTTTTTGGTGGGTGCAGATTTTATCCTGGGGAAAAATACTGACTATACCTAGGGATGGCCATGGACTGGTTCTGAGATAATCTTTTAGTTAGTCCCCTTGTCTCTCCCACTGGTCCTATTACTTTAGAATAATGAGGGGATATCTACAGGAGAACCATATCTGCCTCAGGTGGAGGTAGAGACTGGGGAGGGGGGGTGGTCATCGAAGCATGAGATAGCAATAGAAGCCATGGGCATCAGTGAGATTGCCCGGGTAGAGTGTGTCAACAGAGAGCGAAGCAGCCCAGGACTGACCCCTGAGGAAAGCAGCTAGCAAGAGTCAGAAAGGACAGCAGAGGGAGGGAAGGGAAGTCAGGCCTGTGTGGAGTCACAGAAGGCATGGGAGAAAATGTGTCAAGAATGCAATCAGAGGAACTAAATAGACACCTCTCCAAACAGGACATACAAATGGCTAAGAGACATATGAAGAAATGCTCAACATCACTAATCATCAGAGAGATGCAAATTAAAACAACAATGAGGTATCACCTCACACCTGTCAGAATGGCTGCCATCAACAAATCATCAAACAACAAGTGTTGGCGAGGGTGTGGAGAAAAGGGGACTCTAGTACACTGCTGGTGGGAATGCAGACTGGTGCAGCCACTATGGAAAACACTATGGTGTCTCCTCAAAAAATTAAAAATTGAACTTCCATTTGACCCAGTGATCCCACTTCTAGGAATATACCCTAAGAAGCCTGAAACACCAATCAGAAAGAATATATGTACCCCCATGTTTATAGCAGCACTATTTACAATAGCTAAGATCTGGAAACAACCCAAATGTCCATCAGTAGACAAATGGATAAAAAAGCTGGGGCACATATGCTTTTTTGCACAATGGAGTACTATGCAGCTGTAAAAAAGAAAGATCCCTTATCTTTTGAGACGACATGGAGGGACCTGGAAAGTGTCATCCTAAGCGAAACAAGCCAAACAGAGACAGACAAGTATCATATGATCTCACTTATTTGTGGAATATAATGAACATAACAGTCTGAGGAATGGGGTAGCTCCAGAGACGTGGAAGTGGGGTACAGACTGACTATCCCCAGAAGATGGGGTGGGGGGGATAAACCACAGAACTTATATGCATGTATGCATGAACAACAGACATGGACAACAAAGCTGGGGAGAGGGCGGGGAGGGAGGGAGAGGGGGGAATCAGTGGGGAGGGGGAGGAGAAACATCTGTAACAAAAATAAATTAATTAATTTAAATTTAAAAAAAAAAATAATTCCAGGTTTACATGAATGGGTCCTCAATGGACACACTTTCTTTATGTATCTGACATTGTGTGTTCCTCTTCCCTGACATGAACTTTTGGTTCTAGTCTCCTGTTTGGCCCTGGGATAACCATGCTCCCTTACAGCATGATGTCTCTGCTCCACAAAATCAAATCCCATCATTTTCAAGGACCAGACTGAGTCTCACCTCTTCCATGAAACCCTCTTAAGTGTAACTTTGTTTCCTGCCTAGAAGCTTCAAACAAAAAGCTAATTAATAAAGTCAAGCAGGTTTCACAAAGTTAAAAATAAATAAATAAAGAATGGAATCAAACTGTCTGCAGCTGCCTACAGGAGGCTGAACATTGTCCCCAGGTTAAAGTGTGCGGGCTGTGATTGGTGAAGTGGTGTCCCGGATTAAAGTGTGCGGGCTGTGATTGGTGAAGTGGTGTCCCGGATTAAAGTGTGCGGGCTGTGATTGGTGAAGTGGTGTCCCAGATTAAAGTGTGCGGGCTGTGATTGGTGAAGCGGTGTCCGGATTACAGTGTGCGGGCTGTGATTGGTGAGAGCAGTTTCTGTAGAAAGTGTACAGAAGCTGTAGTGGGTTGCAGAATGAGGGGGGGATGAGAAAGTGTGGACTGCTTGGAGAGACAGCTCTTTCCAGAAGTTTATCTATGAAGGATGTAAAAGTCATGTTAATGTGGTGAAGGATGGAGAATTAATTGTTGGTTGGCTGTTTTTTGTTTGTTTGTTTGTTTGTTTTTAATCTTTACCCAGTGGTATGTTTCCATTGATTTCAGGGGGGGGGGAATATTGATGTGAGAGAGAAACATCTATCTGTTGCCTCCCATACACACCCTGACTGGGATCGAACTCACAGCCTAGGTGTGTGCCCTCACTGGGATTGGAACCTGAAATCCTTTGGTGTATGGGATGACGCTCTAACCAACTGAGCCACCTGGCCAGAGCAGTTGGCTTGTTTTACGCGGGAGAGATTTGAACTTGTTTATAGAGGAAATAGTCTGTTTTCTGTGTGTGATATTTTGAATGTTGTAACTAGAAGTGCTGCATAAAACCAAGCAAACGTCCTTTAAAATGCACAGCTGGGTTTTGCACTGGCTGGTTTGGCTCAGCAGCTGGAGCGTCGGCCTGGGGACCAGAGAGTCCTGGTTCCTGCTAGGGGCACGTACCAAAAAAAAAAAAAAAAGCACAGCTGGGTTTCAAGAAAGTAAGGGGAATCCCCAGGAGCCACACGCAAAGAGGAAATTGAAAACTAGAGCTGTGCCTGCTGCATGGTTGCAGAGCTTGGCAGCGAAGGGGCGTGGACTGGAGAGGAGGCCTTGCCTGGGGCATTGAAAGCAGAGACCCCGATAGAAAGGTGACACCCTCCATGAAAGGGCAGGCTAGAAAAATATCTTCCCATCAGCCCAGGGAGCAAGAAGAACCTTGTCTGTCCCACCCTGAGACCTGGGGGCGGTAGAAAGTCTCCCCTGAGAATTCATAACTAAAGGTTTTCCCTCACTTGGATTTGGGGTTCCAGTTTACACCATGGTTTCAGAGCCCAAATAAAAGGAACAAATAATGTGGTCCAACGTTGGTAATACCCCTGAAGCATCCCAGGCAGGAGCAAACACAGAATCTCTGGAGACATCCCTTCAAACTGGTCACAGGAATCCCACTGCTAAGGCCCTGCTGAAGCCGGTTCACAGCCCAGAACTTGAAAGCCTAAGAGGAAACCATCGTCACGCATGAGTGTGAGCTCCCTAAACTCCAGACGACAGAATGATTGAGTGAAGGACCATACAGTAAGTATATCTCAAATGCCTAAAGACATAAAGGAAGGACTGAACGCCAGAAAGTAATAAGATGGCGTTAAAAAGGAGAGGGAGAGGTCTAAATAAAGAGAAAGGAGCAAGGGTAAAACGGATGCTTAGTCCACCCACTTGCCCATTCTTCTTTCCCTGGGCTCCCGTTGTGTTCTAGGCCAGCTTCTGGGTCTGGGAGTGTAATGGTGACTTTGGGGATAGCAAGTTGGACTCTGCCTCAGGAAGATCACATTCATCCACGTCATCCCTCTTTCCTTTTATACCATCCCGAGATGTCACAGCTAGAAGAGTCCCAATAGAGCATCTTTTTCAACTTTCTACCTCTCTAAAGTCTCCACGTAAATGGGTGACAGAGCCAGATTGAGAGCCAGGGCCTTGTCTCCAGTGTCCCCTCTATCCTGTCCTGCTTCTGCTGAGCACTTGGTGTGCGGGCATCTAAGCTCTGAACACTGCGTCTCTGTTCCGTTTCCCTGGTGCACTGACCACTCCTCATGGGCAGAGTCCCTACGATCCAGTCCTGTCAGCTGATGGTGATGAGAAGTGATGTAATTAAATCCCCCAGCTCACGGAGATAGGGCAGGAGCCCCACCTGGTATCACTTATGTGTCCCTTCCTCTCTTACCCCCTCCACTCCCACCCCTGCCACTAGAGAGACCTTGAGCTCCTTGAGGCAGGTGCCAGGTCTGGTTCTTCCCCCCCAGGCTCTGCCTCAGGGGAGGTGCAAGGACCTGGGGAGAGGTCCTTCAGCCCTGGGGCTTCTCGCTCCCTGCTGCTCCTTCAGCTTCTGGCACCCAAGCGGGAGGGGAGGTCCAGCGCCAGTGCTGCCCGGCCCTCCGGAGCAGAGCTGAGTGCTGGCCAAGCCCGGTGTGGGTGAGCTTGGAGGTCCCTGACTGGCGTTAAGTAGCACAGGGTCCCTTTGCTGCTCCCTATGCAGGACTCAGTAGTTCTGAGGGAGGTGGTCTCAGGGTGGCAGCTAGACTGGCTAACACTTGCTGACTCATCTAGTTCTGTTTTTTTTTTTTTTTTTTAAAAACAAACAAAGAAAGATCAGTTTTTTGGGTCAGTGCCTCCAGCAGGGAACAATGTCTACTTAGGACTGAATGTCTATTTACAATGTATTTATTTTACCTTCTATTTATGGCAAGTAATACTGGTTTTCCATTTACAGAGGGGATACAAGAAAGATTCTGTTTAAAATAAATTTATTAAGCAAATAGCAAGCCGAGTTAAAGAAAAATATAAAGTCAACAATAGTACAGGTGGCAAACTGATATGGCAAAAATCCTAACATTCACGACTGCAGTTTGGAGTGGAAATTCCTTGGCCTCTCCCCAGCCCCCAGCTCTGCTCCCAAAGAGGAGGTCAGCTGACATGGATGGCTATAAGGCCAAGGACATTTGGGGACTCCATTTCTCCCAGGTGGAGCACTATAAGTAAGCCTGCCTGGGAATGGGGGAGGGGATCTGTCTCTGGAACACTCCAGCAAGCTAGGAGGGAAGACGGCCAGACGCTGCATTTGGGAGCTGCCCTGCCCTGAGGTTGGATCAGCCTCAGATGTCCTGGCCCAGGCCTCCTTCACTGGAGGGGTAAGATTCAGAGGGTGGGGATATATCGGCCTTCTTAGGATGGGCAGAGAAGCCCATTGGTTTTCTTTGACTCTAGGTCCCAGCTGAAGGCAAGAGAGGGCCCCTCCAGCTTGGCTCCCCAAGTTCACTGCCGTGGGCTGGGATCAGAGCCAAGGTTCATATATCATAAGATGCTCCTTTGTCTGGTCTTGACCTGTTCATGTTTCCCTGGAGACACCAAACAGGTGTGTGGTTCTGGAAGCTGGACTCCCGTCATCTCCTGTTAGCACAACTGACACGCGTGATCACTACTCAGTCTCCAGCGCCCAGAAGCCCCTTCCCCGGACATTGGCGTCTTACATGCACAGTGAAGGAAGGTGGAAGCCACTGCGGTGGTGCTGTTTCACGCTTGTCCTGTCCCTGGAGTTTTTCATCAGGAATGTGATCTTGGCAGCTTCTGGCCCAGAGCACCCCGCCTCCTGCCCCGGGCAGCTGAGCAGAGGCACCTCTGAGCTTCCCCTGAAGCTCAGGCTCTGTCCATACCCAGCCTACCCACACCCAGATCCAGCTGAATTGAAATCTAGATGTAAAAGGCCTGGGGCCTTCTTCCCGGATCTCAGGTGTTGGCTGGGTTCCCAGGCTGGGGCCTCAGGGGTCTCCGGGAGGCCAGTCCTCCAGGCTCTGGACATTCAGAAACCCACACTGGTCCGGCCTTCACGCCTCCAGAAAGCTGAGATCTGCTCCAGAGTGACCCGAGGCTGGAGGCCCCACTCAGGATCAGGGCTACCTGGCCGCTGCCTTCGGGCCTGGGGGCTCCCCAAATTCACGCTGGTGTCTGGCCTCTGTTCAGGCTCAGCCCAGCTCACCAGGCCTGGGGCATAGGGCCTCTCCTCCCAGGTCTGGGGTCCCCAGAAGGTGTTTTGGGCTGGGGCCTTGGGTGGGATCTGGGGAAGAAAGGAGTTGGGAGGGGAGTGTGGAGTTGAAGGGGCAGGTGGGGCTGTTGCTGAGGCCTCCAAGGTGCCCCCCAGGGTAGGAGGATCTGGGGCTTGGTCCATCAGCAGGGGCACCTCGGAGCCATACCAGTCCTCGGAGCGCTCTCTGGGAGTGCCTGTGGGCTCAATCCACAGCTCTCCTCCAGGGCGCCAGACCAGGGTGGGGGGGTGGGTGCTGGGGTCTGGCGGCAGAGAGCGGCGGAACAGGCGCTCAGCCAGCACAGCTGTAGTGAGGAGGAAGAGGGAGGCCAGGAAGGCCAGGGCCAGCATGATGGGGATGCAAGGCCCACAGGGCAACGGGGGCCAAAAGGCCGGCTCCGAAGCAGGGGGCCCCTCCATGTGCCCGGAGGGTTGCTCTGGAGTCCAAGGCATCTGGGGAGAGAGGAGGCAAGAGAAGAAGCACAATGTAGAGGTGGAGAGGCAGCAAGTGGCCAGACAAGATTGAGTAGAGACAGAGGTCAGGGGGCTGGGAATCTGGCCTGAGACAGAGGCCCAGACAGGAACAGGAGCAGAGGGAACCCCGAAAGGGCTAGAGGAGTCAGAGGGTGGGACGGAGGGGGCAGCCTGCAGCCTGGCCCTCCTGCTCAGAACCCCCAATCCCTTCCCAGGCCTCAGGGGCCTCAGACAAGGCTCTGAGGGCCCCAAGGGCACCTCTCCTCCCATCTCCTCAGCCCCTCGGTCTTGCTGAGCCTAGAGGGAGGAAGTGGTGGTGCTGTTCCAGGGTTCCCAGCTGCAGGGCCGCTCCACGCCTCACCTCGGTCTCCTGTAGTTCGGCTCCTCTTTCCCTTCAGAGCAGCTCTTCCCTGCGCCTGCGGAGGGGAGGGTACGGGCCTGCCTCAGGCCCGCAGATCAGGGCGGAAGGGAGGGCACCACCTGTTGCTGGGCAACTGTGCCCCAACTCCCCTGTCCTGAGGAGTGTTTCCAAGGCAACCTGGAGGGGATGTGGTCACTGCGGTGGGGAGGCGGTTCCTGGTGAGAGGTGGGGCCGGAATGGGCAGTGGCTCTGTTGAACTCATTGTCACCCCATAGTCAGGCCCCAGAATATTCACCCAGAGGCCAAGAAAGAGGAGGCAGAGACTCTGCCCAGTCCATTCCCCACCCCCTCCACCCAGCACCAAGGCACCTCCCTCTGCTGCTCTCTGGGGGTTGCCCTGTCCCTGTCTTGCCCACTGAGCCCCACCCAACCTGCTCCTGCCACCCAGCCCCAACACACCCTCCCGCTTGGGCTAGCCTTCTCCATTCTTTTTATGAACATACATCTCCATGGCTTCAGACCATTTAGCGCCAGTTTTGGTTAGAAAATATCTGTGAGGTGAGGCCTGGGTAGTAACAATGTCAGGCCTCTGGAAAGAGTCCAGGGTCAAACACAGGCTTGGGCATGTCACCAAGACCCCGAACATTGGCCATCGACTCTTTTTTTTTTTTATCCTCACCCGAGGACATTTTTCCACTTTTTGTTCAGATAGAGTGGGAGGGAGAGAGAGGAAGAGAGAGAGAGAGAAACATCGACGTGAAAGGGACACATCGAGTGGCTGCCACCCCCACGACCAACCAGGGCCGTGGACAAACCGAGGTACGTGCCCTTAGTGGGAACCGAACCCAGGTCTCTCTGGACCGCCGGCCGACGCTCTAACCGCTGAGCCAAACCGGCTAGGGCTGACCATCGACTCTTTTCTCCTGTTGCTGAGGCTGGAGGGAGGCTGGAGGGAGCCTGGGTGGGGACATGATGGAGTGTCATTAGCTCCTTTCAGATTGTGTAGTTTGACTCACTCACTGACAGGTGACAAGTAAACCCCAAATAAGGGAGGTGACGTACCCAAAGTCATATAACCCACGTGCGCAGGAGGGATGTGGGGAGCAAAGATATAAATTCCTGGTCTGGCAAGCTTCCTGAACATAACACAACTCTTAGTAGGTATTAATATTTTGTTTTGCAAAATGACAGCCATTTAGTGTGAAAAGTTACAAAAATATGTTGCAATGTTAGTGTCTTACAAAAGGTGGCCCCAAGCACAGTTGGACTCAGCTCGCTCTCCCTGGTGGTTTGGGGGAGGGGCCTAACGGAGCACGGAGCGCCCGCCTGGGCGGGGGTGGAGATGATGTGCTCCTGGCTCTGGGCCCTAGAGCATGTGCAGAAACCTGATGAGACTAGAATTCGATGAGATTATAAGTCTTAAAATCTGAACTTAATACCACTGAACTGGACACTTAAAAATGGTTAAGATGGTAGATTATATGTTATGTGTATTTATGACAATAAAAAAGTTTTATTTTAAAAAGTCCATATAAATAAACAAAACCTGAAAATTGTTATGTTCTCTTTCAATTAGTCTTTCTTAAAGAAAATAAATGAAAACACTAGAAAAATAAATAAATAAAAACACTAGAAGAGTAAACATTATTAAAAACCAGAAAGATCTTCTTTAAAACAAATAAACAAACAAAATAAATAAATAAAAACAAAAACCAGAAAGATCAAACATGATTTTTCTGTTTCGAAGATTTCAAACTGGGTGTTTTTTTTTTAATCCTCACCCACGGATATTTTTCCATTTATCTTCAGATAGAGTGGGAGGGAGGGGGAGAGAGAGAGTGAGAAACATCCATGTGAGAGGGACACGTCAACTGGTTGCCTCCCGCATGACACCGACCGGGGCGGGGGTTGAACCACAACTGAAGTATATGCCCTTGACCTAAATCGAACCCGCGACTCTTTGGTCCATGGGCTGACGCTCTAACTACTGAGCCAAACTAGCCAGGTCAGGGTGTTTTGATTCTTAACAGTCTTTTATCACTTAAAAAAAAAAAAAGCTTAAAAAATTTTAACTTGTTCCTCCAAAAATTAAACATAATATTACCATATGATCCAGTAATTATACTCTATGTAGTCTACACTTATACAAAAGAACAGACATAGAAAGGAGTATGGTTCAGACTGACAGACCTCAGAGGAGGGGGGCGGGGGGGATGGATGAGATAAACCAAAGAACTTACATGCATGTAAGCGAACCGAATAGACATAGACAGCAATGCTGGGGGAGGACAGGGGGGCAGGATGGGGAGGAGGGTGTCTCGGGGGAAAAAGGGCAAAAATAAATTAATAAAAAATTGGAGCCCTGGCCACTTTGGCTCAGCGGTTAGAGCGTCGGCCTGCAGTCCAGAGAGACCCGGATTCGGTTCTCGCTAAGGTGGGCACGTACCTTGGTTGCAGTTTGGCCCTGGCCCTGGTTGGGTTGTGCGGGTGGCAGCTACTCGATGTGTCCCTTTCACGTCGATGTTTCTCTCTCTCTCTTTCTCCCTCCCACTCTATCTGAACAAAATATCAAAAAATCCTCGAGTGAGGGAAAAAAAAAAACTGAATGTAGAGACTCAAACAGATATTTGCACACCAATTTTTTTTCTTTATTGATTTTAGAAAGAGAGGAAAGAAGAGGGAGAGAAAGAGAAACATTGGTGAAGGAGAACCTCCAATGGCTGCCTCTTGCATACCCCCCACTGGGGATCAAGCCTGCAACCCAGGCATGTGCCCTGACCAGGAATTGAACCAGAGACCTCTTGGTGCCTGGGTTGATGCTTAACCACTGAGCCACACTGACCAGGCTGCACACCAGTGTGTATAGCAAGGTTGTTCACAATAAGCTAAAAGTAAAAACAACTCAAATGTCCATCAGTGGCTGAATGGATAGAGAAAATGTCACATACACATTGAAATATTATTCAGCTCCAAAAGAAAGGGAATTCTGACACATTCTAAATATAAATATATATATATATATATATATATATATATATATATATATATATATTGATTTTAAAGAGAGAGGAAGGGAGAAGGAGAGAGAGATAGAAACATGGATGAAAGAGAACATCGATCGGCCGCCTCCTGCATGCCCCCCACTGGGGATCAGGCCCACAACCTGGGCATGTGCCCTGACCAGGAATCAAACCGGCGACCTCTTGGTGCATGGGTCAGTGTTCAACCACTGAGCCACACTGGCAAGGAGATTCTATCTATCATCTATCTATCTATCTATCTATCTATCTATCTATCTATCTATCTATCTATCATCTATCTCTATCTATCTTTTTTTAATCCTTACCCGAGGATATATATATTTTTTTTAATTGACTTTTAGAGAGAGAGGAAGAGAGAGAGAGAGAGAAACATTGATCAGTTGCCTCCTGTATGCCCCTCCACCAAGGATCGAACCCAGAGCCTAGGTATGTGCCCTGACTGTGAATGCAACCCACCACCTTTTGGTGTACAGGATGAAGCTCCAACCAACTGAGCAGCCTGACCAGGGCATATCTGACCATATGGATGACCCTCTTAGACTGTGCTGAGTGAAATAATTCAGTCACAAAGGACAAATACTGTAGGATTCTACTTACATGAGTCCCTAGAGTAGTCAAAATCATAGAGACAGAAAATAGAATGGTGGCAGCCAGGGGCTCTTTAAAATCAATATATATATATATTTAGAATGTGTCAGAATTCCCTTTCTTTTGGAGCTGAATAATATTCCAATGTGTATGTGACATTTTCTCTATCCATTCAGCCACTGATGGACATTTGAGTTGTTTTTACTTTTTAGCTTATTGTGAACAACCCTGCTATAAACACTCATTAGCTTATTGTGAACAACCCTGCTATAAATACTCATTAGTATTTAATGAGTACAGAGTTTCAGTTTGAGCTGAAACAGTTCTGGAGATGGATGGTGGTAATGGTTACACAACAATGTAAATATGCTTAATGCCACTGAGCAATACTTATAAATCATTAAAATGGCAAATTATATGTTATTTATATGTTACCACAATAAGAAATTTAAATACTAATATAGAAAATTGAAACATAGAGAAGAAAATTATTTCCCATAATCTCCTCACTCCCCAATAAACCTGCTTCCTTTCTCATAGGCTCCGCAGTGTGGGATCAGAAGCCAGGTGTCCCCACATCCAGGTTTCTCCCGCTCCCCCACCCAAGAATTTCCGAAGAAAGGAATCAGGAAGTTACTCAAGCAGTGTGTGCACGTCTCTGGGTCAGGAGTCTAGAAAACAGGTCTTTGATGGGATATGTTCTGGACTGTTGGGTGGGTGCTCCAGGGGCCAGGTGTTCTGGGATGAGCTTGACTGTGCTTGGAACCAGCAAGAAAAAACTATTTTTGTCCTCTAGGCAGCTGGCTGTGTGCTGCTGTGTGCAGAGTTCTGTCCTTGTACCTTGGCTCCTGTCTGTGGGGTGGTGTGGTGCAAAGTGCTGAGCTCCTGGAAAACCTCCGCGTGTTGTTCTTGGATTCCGAAGAAAGAACCCAGAGGGCTGCCTGGGACAGGCACGGCTTATTAGGACTTACAGGCTGCAGCAGGTCGGCCAGCCGGCCGGTGCTGCTGTTTCACCACCACCCAGACTTCCCCAACCCAAGGTTTCATAGAGGACAGAAAGCAAAGACAAGGCGTGCAGGGGAGGGGGACAGGCGCCGAGTGAGCCCTGTTTTGTTGACTGAAGAGCTCGCCAGGCTCCCGAGGTCTCATGGCTGCTCACTGATGGCCTTCATCGTCTCACCACAGCGTGGGAAGGGGAGTTGGAGCACAGGAAGGGGCCCGTGTCCTCATTTATCGTACAGGTGGTTTTAAAATAAGTCTGTGAGTATCTTGACATGCCTATCCTAAGACTGGGTCTAAGTCCACCTCTTGGATGCAGGCTGGCTTTGGTGTCGCACTCCAGTGGAATACAGCAGAAGTGACAGTGGCTTCCAAGGCTAGTTTAAAACAAGCATAGAGCTCGCGCCTGCCCTAGGCTCTCCTCCCTGCCACTCCGGCGTGCCCTGGGAACCCAATCACCATGTGTGAGAAAGCCCAAGACACCTGTAGGTGCCCTGGTT